GTGTGCTCCATGCTGAGATAGAAAACCTATTTGCAACTAATGTGTATGCCTAGCACTCTTGGTGAATTTCATATTTATTTATATCTCCCCTCCAGCCAGGATAAGTAGGAAATCAGGAGACAGATAAAGTACTGAAATGTATTTTATTTACAAGTAACAATAATGAGGTGAAACAAGGTAGGTCTTGAGGGGTAGTAGAAGGTTTTGCAGGATAAAGGGCAAAGCTTAAAAAACATATTTTGGAAGTGGAAAAAAAGTGTTGAGTAATTAAAATAGAGTTTGAGAAATGTGTGATGGGTGAAGAGATAGGGCTTTTAAGAGCTAAAGGTACTAAAGGGTACCAGGAAGGGCTTAATATACTAAAGTGGGAAATTAACATTGAACGTTTATAAAGTTAATAGTTGGTAGTACTAATAGTTAGTAGTTGAAAAGGATGGGTGTAAAGATATTAGGATTTTAGGTTTATGTGAATGGAGTAGATTAAAAAATAAAAAATCAAAGTAAGAACTGGGTGAAATACAATCAGGAAATAGAAGAAATGAAACATGAAGGTGAAGATATAGCAAATCATGGAAAAGACTTTATTGAATGTGACAAAATTATCATAGAACACAGATATAAAAAAATAATGTCAATGAGCATTGGTGACACACAGATACTTGGATAAAGGAGATTAGAATTGGTAGCAAGACATGTAGACAGATATAATGGTATAGAAAAACAAGACAATGAGAACATAAGGCTGAGGATAAAAAGTGCAAAACTATTATTGATGATTGTGAATGTCCAGTAAAATGAAGCAGAAGTAGAGTGGCAATAGATTGTGATAAAGAAAATAGTAAATATTTTGAAAGTGAATAACAAAATGTTAGAGTTATAATAATGGGCTATATTTATTTTTTGTTGTGTTTATTTTCCCTAAGCTTATCAATAATGCTTAACTGTTCAATGGGTTGGGTGGGTGGGTGATCAGGGACTCCAGCTTCTGTAAACGCTTAACTATGGTGTGGTTGCTATGTGGGCAGAGAGGTACATAAGGAGTAAGAATATATATTGTTTGGGAGATATGCAAGCTTGCACTTTTGTTTGTGAGTGCTTATTATTTTATTTTTCAAAGTGTCATGATATCTTACATTATGAAATGTAATTGTATCTCCAGAGTCAGTTTGTTCCTTTAAGCTTGTATGTGTACATATTTTATTGCTGCCTAAAATAAATGAGAGCTAAAAAATTAAGGGGTTGCAGCTATTTTGGCTATAAACATTAAAATGGCAGCATGTGCCTTTTGGCAGTGTAATTCCCACTATTTTTAGGCAGACAGGGACATGTATGCCCTAGTCTACCCAAGATTAGAGCTACCAGAATTTAAACATGTAATCTGAGCTAAATACCCATTACTTACACATGACATTACCAAGTGTGTAGTTTGTTTTTCTAAAATATAATTTGTCTATTATAATTAATTATATATAATTTTGCACAACTGAAACTGTATTAGTCTCTCCTACTACAAACATATTTTACAAGCAAAGATAACGTATAGAAGAGATGATAACCATAAAAACAATATAAAAAAGGCAAAGGGAAAATTGTGACAGTTCTTCAAATTTGTAACAGATTTTACCTTAAAAAGAAAATTTAAACAGATCATATATTCAGCTGTAGTATGTGCTCTCATTTTATTGTCATTGTTTCTTTGCCATATTTTGTTTCTATTGAAATTCACGAAGCTCTGAAATATTGAAGTATTCTATATGATGCATATTTATGCTCATTTTTGTAACAATATTTTTGGCCATCCACATTGAGTTCAGGTCTGCACTAAAATGGTTCCATCCAGTTCTACAGCTGCACATATTTTCTACTTCACAGTGTTAGGTGCAGCTTTTTTTTAACTTGGACTGCAGTAAAAAAATATAGCTGACAACATATATCAAAACATATGATATGAAATACTGAGGCTCACAATTTTCTTGTGAACACTTTACTCTGAGTCACCTTGGCAAAACAATAGAGAGCTGTTTAACTTTTAAAGCTGAGGGGGGAAAAAAACGCTTGTTCAGTTTCATGGATTCTAAGAATAAAAATACATATCAGCCCATCTGTTTCAGAATCTGATACAATAAAGTTTGTACTTGTAAACAAGATCAAGGCCAACCAGCGGAACAAAACACTCCTTCTTAACTCCAAAGACATATCTGATCTTATACTATTCAATCCCCTTTTATTTTATATCATCTTCCAACAAAAAAAAGCTATTTATTGGATGACAGCAAGTTACTAGCTGGCCTGTATGAAATTATAAAATGAAATACACAAATATTTAGCTTTTGATAAATATGATTATAAGAGGTTGTGTAATTTCAGTATAATTTCTTGAATGTATGTTACCACCTTCCAGATCCAACCCAGACTTTTTATTTTCTAAGAACAGTAGACATTGTAGCCCAAACAACTGATGGACCATAACGTTAAAAAAATGTATGACAGTAGAAGATAAATTTGTCATCACAAACCTCTGTCAAGTCAATCAAAATGATCTGCTGAATAGAACCTGAGAGTCACATGTAATAAATAGATACAAGTCTAGGAATATTATTTTTTCCTTCTTTACACTTTTTACCATGGCTTTTAACATTTTGAATACCTACATATTCACTGGTGACTGATAGATTTGGTAAGTGTTACACCTTTATTAAATGTATATAGAACTAAAAAGATGTACACATTTATTTACTAGAACAAAGGGTATGACCTGTATTTTATTTTTCTTTACAGTGGACATTTAAAACCAGGCCAATTGAAATCTATTACAAATGGTTCATCCTTACAAACAGTAAGGGAGAATTTGTGTTAGCAAAGTTTAAACTGGACCAGTCTGTTCCCACTTCCTTATGGTATGAATGCACATTATGTATTTGTAACACTGTTACCCCTACTATTGAATGCATCCATTCATGCCTTATCTCATTATTTATTACAAAATTCAAATGATGATCTTTAAGAGTCATAATAGAAGGTACACTGTTTGGGAATAAATGTCAGATAATTTGGTCACCATATACATGTTTGACTTTACAACTCATCTATTACCTATCTCTAGATAGGGAAACGTATTATCTATTAATTGTAGTTCAGAGCAACAATTAAGCTCACAATATTGTGGTTTGCTTGACAATCAAAATTAATTTAATGAAAAAAAATTACAGTGTTCAGGAGAAATCTCTCTGGAATGGCAGTTATTAAAGACGCAGCCTGACAATAGATTGCATGCTTTTTGTTTTGCAGTCATTTCTAACAAGCCTCTTTGATAGGAATTTGACAGTTATCTGTAGGCAAAATATAATAGACATACTTTGTTTTTGTGCATATTTCAGTCCCTGCTATGTTAAGGATGGATTCAGCTTTTTCTTTAAAATTATTCATGATGAAATTACAGTGTAGAATCCCAATATCCCTTTTATTATACATTGAGTCATCAATGAGTTTAATTCAATAATGAATGTTCTTTCTATCAAATCACTTACATGTCTAACCTTTTGCTTCAACACCTTACTAGATGAACTATACTACAACAGTATGAATGATCTTACGTGTTTACCGGCTTTTCATGTTATACAATTTTAATTTGCCCTGCATATTTTAGTTCAAACAGTTTTATGTTTTTTGTTACTGCAAACAAGAAAAAAATAATATTCATTAAATTGTGTGGCAAAACTCATTGGTTTCAGAATATAAGAAATAAATCTGGAATATTGTTTTTCCAACAACATTTAGAACTTTGCTCTAGAATAATTCTTTTATAAATAAAACACTCAAAACATGGTAACAACAGAAAGAATAATGCATTTTAACAGCTTTTTTTTTCTTTTAATAGTAGTGATTATGCACTAATATGATTCTACAGAGACAAACATCCATAGCCAGTTGTCAAAATTAATTGATAATTGCATAAACGATATGCAATGTGTCCTATAATTATGTTAAATTTCACTTCATGCTCATACTCAGACCATAAGCATAAAAAGATATTAACACATTATTATGTGTGAGAAACAACAAAGAACATTTTTTTCTGCATAGCCTCCAGTCTTCTTATTTAAGTCTCCCTTATTTCTTTATATTTCTGTTTATTGTTGCATTTGGTGTCGTCATTCTCAAGTTCTTTTCAAGTTTACATTGTATCATTAAAAGGATGTATTCTACTTACATTAGGAGCGATTGCATAATTATACCTGCAGGGAACAGTAATCTATCTCCAGTTTTTTGAATATTTTTAAAGGTACACTCCAAGCACCCTAACCACTACATAACACTGCAGTGGTTATGGTGCCAGGGGTGCTCTGGCACTGCCCCATTGTAATAACTTGACACTGCTACCATTTCCACTTCTCCCTAAGCATGAGCTTGTATTAGCTCTCCAGAGCTAAGCTTTTAGCTAAGACAGAGCGCTTCTGGCTACAGAAATTTCCCATCACTTCAGCAAGAATCAATATTAATGCAAACACCAACTGGGGAGGAATCAGAATATGTACTCAGAATAAACCTGAGAGCTCAATCACGGTCTGACATACCTTTATCTTACCTACCTTAAAACCACGTTTCATGAAATATCCCACAC